TACCAGCGTCATGAAGAGCATTTTAGCTTATGAAAGACCAGCACATTTTTTGATCTAATTTCTTTTTCATCATTCTTTTTATTTCATTACTTTCTGTGCATTTCAGCTGGGCAGTGCAAGCAGATTGGGGTCTTTCCTATTCCCAATTACTTTGACTGTACCATTCCTGTGTCTGAGAACAATGAAGACAAGCATACGTTTTACAATCTCTTAAAAAATAACCAACAGACAAAAGAACAACCAGATCCAAGCTGCTCTTATCCCTGACCCCAAACTAGTGATATTTCTTCTCCAAATCCTCCCCTCTTCTTTTCTAAAGTGACCAAAACTCGGGCATTAAATTATCTCATGCCGTTCCTTCAGTGCACTGAAATGCTGGCATTTGGAAGGAAACCACTTTGTATTTTAAGTGAGTCACAAACTACACACTGGATATTTGGTCTATCTTTTATTTGCATTCCCGAGTATTGAAAAGCGTTAGAGAACTAAAACAGAAGGATAACAGAAGCTGTGATGCTCATTCTTCTCACACATACTTCCTTACATTTTTTTCTACAGACTATCAAAATGGAGGTACAAAAATAGAATCACAGTTCCAATGATAGACTGGATTCTTATTCTTCCTCCATAGAGGAATTCTACAAAGTCTATAGTACAGCTCAGCTAAATTCTCCACAAGTGTAACATGAACTCCCCAGGTTAATGCACGTGTCACTGCTCAGCACTTCTCTGCCTGCCACCCTCTCACCATCATTGTAAGATCTGTGCCCGCTAAGACTCAGAGTGCAGAGAGCTGTGATCATTCCCCATAACACAGATCTGACACTCATATTGATTATTGTCTGCACTGGAGTATTGCACTACATTTTTAGAGTACCTGTTATGTCCTGAAAAGGGCCTGGGACACAAAGAGTCTGTTGGTATCATTTGATCTGCCTCATAAGAAAGTTCTAGGTCTTAATTAGTTCATTAATAGCTAGAGAGTTCTTTAGGTTTTTGGGCAGCATGCCCCATGGAAATCATCCTACAGCAATGGGAAATCCTCTGTCTACACAGCTTGCAGCTCCCAGTGAGCTTCTGAAGTTTGAGGAACGTTACACGCTTGCTAAAATTTGTGCTTTTACTCCAAAGCTTCATAGCTCCACTCCACCCTGTGCTGTCCACAGAGAAGTATAAATACAGTGGACACAGTTACTGCAACAGCTTCACCTCTGTGATATTAACAGCTTAAACGACTTCCCTCTCCCCATGCATTCAAGTACAAAAGCAGAGACATTGTATTAGAAAAAAAAAGATTCTGTTTTAAGTTAGCATAGGAATGAAAACAGAAGATTTGTAATGTTTATCCATTACCAAGTTGATACCTCATATGTCCAGCCATATGCCATGTAACAAGCTTTTTTTCTGAAGCATCTAAGCACTACATTTTTATCATTTTTGCATTACACTGCAGCCAGATCCTCGAGATAAGGAAACAAGGAAATACTGAAGCGTGTTTTGTTTGGTTGGAGAGTGCAACCTGTCTGACAAGTGAGCAGAAGTTACATAAGGGCCCAGGAGTCAAGTTCTTCTGAGTAAAACGCACCATCTAGAGGTGAACACCACTTCTGCAAGTAGTGCTCGGAAAACTGCACTGACTGCAGCAATTGAGCTGCTCGCGGGAAAAGAAGAAAACTCAATTCTGCGGAGGCAACAAAATCAGAACTTTGTGCTTTTGGTCCATGAAGTAAATATTTGTGAGGCTTTTTCTAAAAAACGTACTTGTGTATCAAGTCAAACAAGGCTCCTGTCTCACAGACCTTTTGAAAATAAAACTGGGCTACTGCACATGCTTGCTCCAGAGGTCACAAAAGGAAGGTGCTTGCCCCAGGGGCTGCGGCATGTATGAAGAGCAAAAATGGCTCTGCAGATAAGCTTCTGCTTTCAGCTTATGGAAGAAATCCATACACTGTGAAACTCCTGTTGAAGAGACAGTGGAGGACAGTGGTGATGCTGCAATGGAGCGCCAAAAAACGTTCCTGGTCTGGAAGAAGAGAGAGGATTCTCAAGCTCATGGAGAAACATCACCTGCCGTGGTGACATTTTAGCCAGTTTTTCAGGGTTTCCAAGCTTGGTGGGGCCCAGTAAAAGTGATGCAGAGAACCCAAGTGTTTCTCTAGTAGTGTGGAATTACCTGATATTCATCAAATTGTCAGTGGTTTCTTTATTATCACTATCATAAAAGCAAGGTAGCCAGGAAAGCCAGAAGGTGAAGATGGGAAACACTGTACTTCACATTCTTTCCCTACCTGGTTCAGAGGAATATTCCTCCATTGATCTACTTGCAGGAATCATCTGTAAACAAACGTGTTTTGAAGCTGCTGTACAAACAGGAATCACAACATCTTTTAATTAACCATATGTTTTCTTTTTGTCTGTCTCAAGAATGTCAAAACCAGAACATTTCCCCAGTGACAGCTTCATCCTTTAAACTTCACAGATGAGAAAGAAAGCATAACAATTGGTGCTAAAACAGGAGTAAGAGTTACTAGGGTGACACTTTGTAATTTGTAGGATGCTGATAATGAACCTTTGGAAAGTACAAAAGCTTCACTAAAGCTCAAGAGACCTCAGAGACCCAGTTTGCCTCTGCTGTCATCGAAATAGCAGTGAAGATGGTGAATTCCTTCTGCTCTTTCCCTCCTCAGATCTTTGCTACTATTAACTGCTCTACTTCCTAGAGGCAGGGTGTTGCCCATAGCACCAGGAATTTGTCTGGGGAGGAGGGAGGCTCTGGTCCATAGCTTGCCTCAGATGTGTCCAAGATCTGCTGCTGAAAAAGTGATCTCTTTTGTCAGGCTCTTCTGCAGCCATCTTCAGTCACTGCAAAGTTGTGGTACCACCTCACCTCTTCCTACAAGGGCAGATAAACTATTGTGGCAGCAGAAGCCTCAGAGTTTTATTCATTTGACACTGGTAGAGGACATCAGGTTTCTTTCCCTTTCCCTTCTCCTGCAAATGCGAATGTTCATTAAAGTCTTCAGGGAGAACGATGCCAAGGATGGGTTTGCATTTTAGGTGTCTGCATACCTGGAGATATCAGGAAGTTCTCAAGGAGCTTCAGAGTGTTTGAATCCACCTCAGAAAACTTTGAGTTCTGCTTTAGAAAGAGCCTAAACTTTGCCCATGTCAGTCATTCCCCTGCCAAACTGCCCATTTGCTAACAGCCTTGTAGTCTGGGCCCAGGAACAAGCTACAGACAGCATCAACAGCAGACATCAACGTACACAACAAGGAGAAGTTGATTCCCTAGCACAGAAAGCTATTCAGCATCTAGAAAGAGATTATGGTGAGTTTTTGGGGTTTTTTTAAGACAGATAAAAGTAGAGGTGCAGCAAGCTGGATTTTCTACAATGCCATCAAAAAAATTATGTATACAGTTGAAGCAAAAAGAAAACAGCCAACCAACCAAACCAAACAAGCCAATCAACCAACAACCAGACAGACTGCTAGCAAGGAAGAACAATAAACTGCTGGTAAGTTATTTGGCAGGACATCTACAGTAAGCTTCAGAAAGCTCGCTTAAACCAGCTGCCCTGCTCCTCTCAGAGCAGCACATTGCTGTGGGCAGAGCACTGGTTGCCAGTGTTCTTTATTCAGGGGTTTTAGGATAACAGTGACATCAGAGGTAGAAACAGCCTGTAAACCACAGGAACTTACCTCCTCTCGGAAGCATAGTGGTTTGCCTCATAAAAGAACAGCAAGTGTTAAAATGTCACTGAGGGACTTGATTTTGACCACAAGGCCAAGAAAAAGCAAATGTCTTTAGTAAATCAGCTTCTCGGTGACCTCTGACAGAGCAAATCTGCCAAGGCTAAATTGGCTCACTTTTAGGCCAAAGCCAATGATTTATCTGTGTTGGTTGGGCTTAAATCCTGTAGGCTTTATTGAGATTAAAAGGAAAGGTTCTCCATGGAAAGCAAAGCAGCAGCCAGAATCTGGCCTTTTGACAGAAGGGAGATGTGGTGTCAGGCTGGGAATGTTCAGGAGGGATGGGACAGAGCAGAGATGAGTGTGTAGCACTGTCAACAAAGTATGGCTGTGCCCTGATCCCAGCTCTGCAGGGCTTGTGCCAAACTCCAGCTGCTTCCCAGTGTGAGCTTGGGTTGGGCACTGTCCAGAGGAGTCAATGCAGAGGTGGGGGCTGTGCTGGCTGCCTGATGCAAAGCTGCAAATTTCTGCAAAACACCCAGTGCTGCACTGGCTGAAGTTAAGTGTGTGTAAGAGGGAGAGAGAGAAGATAGAGAGGATGCCTGGGGAGGTGAAAAAGGTTGGAATGAGTCACTCCTCATCTTTTTCTCTAATTTGGTGGGTAGCACAGAGGGTGATGCTTTTGTGTCTTCTTGCTGAACAGCTCACGCGAAGTCAGACTTGGTGCAGTCAGTGAAAGGACTTCTCTGCATCCAGCCCATATATGGTGCCAAACAAGGCAGAAAATTGGGCACAGGGATGCGTTGGCTGCAGGCGCTTCTGCGCAGCATTAAACCTGGGAAACTGAGCACGTTTCTGTTGCTTAAAGATTTTGCGAGTCGTGGTACAAGTTCAAAACTGGAAGCATTTCAGTAGCTTCCTCAGCTTACAAGTGCCGTTCTGAAATAGCCTTTGGCTCCTGACATTGACTTAGGCCCAGCCGCAGAATGGTCACCGGTGGATCACAAACTGTACGAAACCCCCACGGGAAACAGATTCACGGCGGCGCAGAGATGGTAAAGCAGGCTGAGCCTCAGCCAGGGTGGCCCCACACCGAGGGAAGGATGAGCTTGTCCCGAAGTGGCTGTCTCCCCTCCCGGGAGGCCGGCGCACGGCAGCGGCGCTTCTGGCGGCTCCCGCGGAGCGCCCCGGCTCGCAGCGTGGCGGGCAGCGGCCGGCAGGGGGCGCCGCAGGGCAGCTGAGCGAAGGCGGGCGGCGGCGAGCGGGCGGCGCTTGGCAGCGGAGCGGGGCCGGGAGGCGGCGGCGGAGCGCAGAGCCCGCGGCGAGGCGGCGGAGGCGGCAGGAGCTGCGCAGCGGCGGCAGCAGCGGCACAGGGGCCAGAGCGGCTCCGATCCGCAGTCCGGACAAGATGTGGCGGCGCTGGGAAGCAGGATGGGACGAGAAGAGGGAGCTGCAGGAGCTCAATTCCCGGCTGCGGGTCTTCGTGTCCCGAGTGAGGGAACTGGAGGAGGAGAACCGCTTTCTGGCGCGGGAGCTGGCGGAGCTGCGGGAGCAGGAGTTGATCGGGCTGCGTGTGCCCGAGCAGGAGCTGGCCTGGCTGCGCATGCAACTGGAGGAGCTGAGCCAGGCGAAGCTGGAAGCGGAGCTGGAGCGGGACGGGCTGCGGCGGGAGCTGGAGCAGCTACAGCTGCTGGGCGCCGAGGTGCTGGCGATGCGCCGCCGCCTGGAGCCGGAGCTGGCCGGGCAGCGGCAACTGCTGCAGCGGCTGCAGGGCGAGTGCGTGGCGCTGGAGGAGCTGCTGCTGCAGATGCAGGACGAGCACGGGCACCTGGCGGAGCGGCAGCGGCGGGAGGCGGTGGAGATACGAGAGCTGCGGATGGACCTGGCCGCCTTGCCGCCCCCCTTGTCCGCCCTGAGCCTGGAGGAGCTGGAGGAGACCTACGAGATGCTGCTTAGCCAGAGCTGCCAGGAGACTCTGCTGCGCTATCAGGAGCAGATCCAGAGGCTGCAAGAGCAGGAGGCGCAGCGGAGCCGAGAGAACCTGGAGCTCCTGCGGGAGGAGAGCCGGCAGTGCCGCCAACACCTGGAGGACCTCCACCGCCAGGGCCAGGAGCTGTGCGGGCTCCGGGAGCGGCTGGAGCAGGAGCTGCTCGCCATGCAGGACCGCCACGGCGCCGAGGTGGACGAGTACCAGGTGCGTGGCACTGTTGCCTTGCCGGGTCCGGGGACGCGTCGTCCCTCAATCGCGGCCCTTCGCAGAGGCTGTCCAGCCGTGCTGCTTCACACTCTCTTTGGCGCTTTTTTTGGTGCCTCTGCATCTCCTTCCACCCTCCCATTCGCTTTTTTTTTTTTTTTTTAAGTTCTGGTCCATAGTGAGATGTGATCCTGATCACACAGCATCCCACTGCACAAGGCTCCGTTATGCTGGCAGCCTGCTCCTATGGTTCTGAGTCCTGCTCCTGCCGTGGGAAGTGCATAAAAACCTGTGGGCCTCGGCTCCCTTGCCCCGCTCTGCCTCCCTCCAGCAGGATTTCCTCGGGCTGAAAAAGCCCTTCTCTTGGGGCTGCAGGGAGCCTTGTTGCACCGCTTCAGGGAGAGTCCTCTGTGAAGGGTGGGGTTTCTGAGTGCGCTGGTGACCCTGAGAGCATCTTCCTGGTGACAGGTGCTCCCTTCCCAGTGCCCTTGCCAAGTTCCCAAGAGCTGGCTTGCAGACTTGCCAGGGCTGCCGCTCAGGTTGGCTCAAGCACACGGTGACACAGAGCAGTCCCTGGGGGGGATAAAGCGAGTCCCCGAGCACTGGGACACAAAGCTTTCCTTCTGGCCTGAGACTTAAGGTTGACTTGGTGAGATCAGAGAAGTGATCTGAATTTTCTTCCAGTGTTACGCACGCTTCTGAGCCTAGAGAAATGCTTGTGGTCCACACTATAGGTGAGGAAACTTAGTCTTTTGAAGGCAGGAAGATGTATTACTGTGCTACAAACAACAAGATTAATAGGAATTGTTTGATAATAAAACCATACCAGTGTAGGTGACTGGCAGCTGTTTCAGATGAATGTTTGATGTTTTTAAACAGAAGGTTATCATAGGTCTGTAGCTGAGAATTTGCTTGCAGCCAGAATAATGTTTGGTGGCACGTATAATCATGCTGAACTGATCAGCAAATGCCAGGACAGAAAAAATATCAGTTCATCAGATTTAGAGTGGAGAGCACATATTAGATCATCCAGACCATCGATCCATTTCCCGAGGGCAACATTTCTTTTGTTCGTTGTTAGATCCTTTTATTAACACTCTGTTGGAGCTCCTTGTTTGTCTGAAGCCCTGGTGGTAATGTGACATTGTATCCAGCAGCGGCAGATTATGGAGACGCTGGCAGTTGGGATAGGGCTGGGACCCGCTGCTGTGTCTGGTTTTTGTAGGCTGCTGGATTGTTTGCAAGCTGCGTAGTTTGCAGATTGCTGTGAAGTGAGTCAGAGTAGGTATGCAAGAAGCAATCTGAAAAGCTCTTAACTTCTGAGTCTTCTCAGACTCTTCTCTTCTCCTCCTGTCCTTTTCTCCTCCTCTCCTCCTCTCCTCCTTTCATTTTTGACAGCCTTTATTCTGACTTTATTCTTCCAATCACGTATTCCAAAAGTTTTAGAAGTGTTGTGTAAATCTCTCACTAATTAAATCTATCAATTGATCAAAGCCAGGGGGAAATGTAAAGAGGAAAAAAACCTCAAAAGCTGTCATTCTTTAAACTTTTCTTTTAGGATCTTAAGCTTACACAAATGTACATAAGCCAACTAATGTTTTGTTATTTTGATTTCCAAAATCTGTCCTCACTGCACTGTTTGAACTGTTTGGTTTCCAGTGGAAAAGGTCCTTTGCAGTAACTTGTGCATAAGAAAGAAAAAAAACATTGATTCACATTCAGGAAAACAAATTGCAGAATGTGTAGAAGCAGCTCATGCAAGTTTTGTTCTTGTGATCAAAGCTTTTTTTTTTTTTTCTTTTTCTTTTCCTCTCAATGTTTCTTTTCTTGGTAAAAGTACATTTAGCATAGATTTTCTATGACTCTTTAAAGAGTTTCTATTCCGTGCCTATTTATTGCAAAGTGTCACATAGAAATGATAAGTATGTACAGATTTAAGTCAAGTGATTATTGTCCACTGCAGCTGTAATAGCAGTTAGATTTATTCATACTTTCCATATATCATCCAGTCGCCTTATATGTCCATCTTTGTCTCCTACCCCATCCCTGTCCTCACTGAAGCTTTCAGCAGCGTTAAATAGAAATATGTGCCTGGAGTTATAATTCAGCCGAACCAGGCATGCTGTGAATCATGCACTGTTTGGAACGTTTTCACTGGTCCTGGGTGCTGTGGGATGAACTCAGTAGATTTCTTATATCTCACTTCCATCATTTCAGCTGTATGCTCTCAAAATACTTGCACAAACACTCTCAGAGATTTGAGTACCAGGTTCAATATGGAGTGACAGCAGAAGGAAGCTCCGCAGTTTTCAGGTGTCAGAAAGGACATAGCTGTCGCTTTGAAAGGAGGCAGAAGTTTTTCACTAATTCAGGGGTTTTAGAGCTGTGTCACTCCTGTTGTGAGCTCCAGAGAAAAAGAAAATGATTTGTCAAATGAACATGTAATATCAATATGTCACATGCATTTTGTTGTGTACCAGTTTCCAGCCAGCTAAGCACAGTTCCTCCCCCTACTGAGCCACGGAATGGGGTTGGTAAACAGTACCAGCTGGAAGGGGCTGGAGCCTGATGTCGTGTCTTTATTCCCTCAGTAGGTACAGTTGGACAACCCAAGTACTTTCTTTTCCCCTACTGTCCTTCTGAAATTTCCCACTGCTGACTGGAAAGAGACCCCTGAAGGATGAGAAAATCGCTTCTGTTCAGTCATACAGTTCTAGTGGGACTTCACCAGGACTTTGAGAGAGGTTGATATGGGTGAGGAGCCACACTTAACTCCCTTAGAGTAAGCGTGAAGCAAACATGACTGCGACAGACAGGTTACTTTTTACAAAACTGATGTTTGTCAGTTTCCCACCTCCTGGGCTTCAGACAGCTTTTTAGCATGCTTGGAAATGGTATGTTGTGTTCTGCACCATAGTTAAATGTCAGTGACTGGAAGGCTGGGCAAGAGGCTGTCTGCCATCCAGTCTACAGAACGTCTCCTCCTGTTGGAATGAATTCCTTCAGAGCAAGTAAGCAGCTAGCCCAGTTATGTAGCCCCTTATGGTAATCATTAGGACACTGTAACTAATTTTATTTTTTTAGTCTCTGTATTTAATGAAGAGGCAACAAATGCCTGAATCTTCTTGTTTTGTATCTTACCACCTTTACGGATCAGTCTCATAGACATCCAGTCTTTCTTGTCTTTTGTTTCTTTTGTAGACTCTTCTGGCAACACCCTGTCTGTTCTTTTCTCACAGCCTTTTCCTTTTAAAAGCAAGGCCTGGCACTTCTCTTCTCATCTTGGGATTTTCCATTGTGTCAGTTCTTGAATAGCACTGTTGCCTAAGAGCCTCTAAAGGTCAGTGGTTCTGCTTGCTACCATGCAGAACCATACCAGTGCAGTTACCTCCGCCACAGTCTGGAGAGCCTAGTGGATGGCTGATAGTGCTGTTTCAGATATACAAATGTTATTTGTTTTCTGCCATAAAAAAGGAGCTTTAATATATGCCAAAGACCGAGGACAAGATGTGTTACATCAAGTAAAATTAATGCCCACATGTCAGTCTAATCATAGAACAAGAGCTGCAAATACAACAGAAGAAATAGGTAGACAGATATTCCCATGCGCATGTGAAGATACAGGCAGGTTCCTTCTGAAGCTTTCTTTTTCCTTTTGCATTAAAAAAGCCTATTAATGTTTGAAAGGCTAGCACTTTATGTTCTTGGTTCTGCTTGCTTCTGCCAGCAGCATATCATACTAGCTCTAACCAGTTTGGGGAGTCTCCTGCTGCATGTATGCTTTTATGCTATTCTTCATACTGTGACAATTGAACACTTGGTGCATAAAAATAAAATACTCTGCATTTTCAAAAACTAGACTGCCACCATCTTGATGTTGTTGTCTGTATTACAAAGCATTTGTTAAGATGCAATCTAAAATATGCTGTCATGAATTCCTGTTCAGTACCATATATGTGTATGAGACTTTGCTTTGTAAATGACAGTTTGATTCCTGCGCAGTGCAGAGTGATAAGAACGAAATAGGACTGGGCCTTTGCTGTGATTTCATTTCTGTCTCCCTAGCCCTCAGAACCAAGTGTAATCTGTAGCATTTTAGTTAGCTTCAGCATGCTGGCTGATGAGGATTGATTTTGGATTAGTAGATGATATCCATAGCGGGGAAACCATGAAGAATCGCTTTGAAAGCTACCACCGATACTTTCAGTTCTGAGTCTGTACCAAACAAACTCCTTTCAGTTATCAGGGAGAGGATTGTTTTCTGGAGATGGAGATTTGCCCTTCATGTGAGAAGTAACACCAGTGATTAAAGCCCTTGTGTTCTGCGGTGTTCTTTTCAAGAGCAGAATTCACTTATTATAGTCTAAATCAAATCTCAGTGTTCTGTTTAAGAAGGCTTTGTTGCTTTTTGTGTTGCGTATGGCTAGTCAGCTTTTAAGTTTCAATGTGGTATTTTATGAGTATGTTAAAATTTTGATCATCTTGTACTTCAGTATTTTGCAGTATCTGCCTCTAACTTCATTTTCAGAACTTTTCAAAAAGATCTGGACTTGGTTATGTCATTGCTCATCTCAGGTAACTTATAGGCACCATATAAAAGTGCAAAGTTATATTCATCAACCACAATGAAGATGAGCACTCCTTTGTATATCTTCTGAGTAGCAGTTAGAAGAGTAGTGGCTGGATTTAGAAGCAAGTATCCAAAGATTGTAGAAAACTTGGTGGGAAGGAACTTCTGGAGGTTCTTCCTTCACTTTTTAGGCACTGAGTATCTCTAGATGTACTAGAAACCAAAATTTGGGCCCACATGTGTGTGGACCTAAAAAAACTAACAAAGAAATCAGCCAGGTTCTCTTAGCAAAGAAATTGCAAAAATTCAGATCTCAAGAATCTAAACCCTTAAAATGACAGAAGGAATCCCACGCAAGTCACACTTATAAAGCAGTGTATTTTCTTTGCTATGCACACTTGATTATTTTTGTATGCAGCGTTTGAATGGCTTTTGCTTAAATATTTCACTAGATTGATGAAGTGAAATCTCAGCACAAAGCTGTTTCAGTAGTAATGTATGTAGGGAAGTCCCAGAGCTGATTTGTACTGTTTTTTTGAAATGATGGAATATGTTGATTTACTGCTCCCCCAGATTTTTTTTTTATTATTATTATTATTATTATTATTATTATTTGTAATTAAAACTTTTAAGTTATTAAGCATTCAAATATGGCAGATTTTAGAGCTTATTCAAAACTAAAAATCAGTATTTCTTTTTAGCGGATAATCGATGCTCTAGAAGAAGAAAAGCAGTTCCTGACCATGTCAATCACAGATTACCTGAAGGACTATCAAGAACTGCTGCAGGTGAAAGCAGGTCTCATCCTTGAAATTGAAACTTACAGGTAAGTATTTCAGTCACACTCAGTTGTCTAATCAGAGGATAATCATAATAAATATGAGGCAGTATAGCTGCTGTCTGTCAAGTTGTACAGCAAAATTCATCATTAAATATTCTGCTTAGCGGCCTCTTGCAATGTTGATGTAAATAGTGAGTTTTCAATTGTTTTCTTCCAGCTGGAGAAGAGTGAGAAAATCACAGAAAAGTCTGTTTGATAAATCCCAGTTTTTTATATTCTTTATTTGCTAGGGAAGTATGTTTGGATCAAGTGTGAGATATCAACAAACAATCTTTCTGCTCATAAATCCTCAGTACTGTATGTATATAACTAGACACTTGGCAGATGTGTGGCTGGAAGGCCAGACTATTTCTGTCTGGAGAATCGTGATGTAAAAAAGATGAACTTATGGGCTGGAGACAGATGCTACTTCTATTGTAAAGGAAGCTGCTTAGTAAGAGACTGGACTGCTGATCAATACTTTGAAATCCAGTTCTTCTGCCAGATCTTTTGATCTGCGATAACCATGGCACATGAATCCAGCTTCTCTTTGTTTCCACAAAGAATCCTGGCATATACCCTTGTTTATGCATATTGGAGACAAAAGGTACCTCACTTCAGCATCCCGAACTTTCCACTGAGAAGTTTCCATTAAGGCTCTGGCGCCTCCACTCCTTTTGGCAGGAAAGGCAGTCTGGTCAGCCTCTTGGAGCTGTCTTTTTTTTACCTCCCACCTATGTTTTCCTTTTGTTTTACGACTCCTACAGGTCCCATTCTAAAGCTAGTTCTTTCCATTAGTCAGTTGCATTGGCACTGGCAAGAAGCTTCGCTGTTGCAAAGAACACCCTTCCCCAAGGGCCAAGTGTACTTCCTATCCAGTTCTGCTCATTCTTCCTGCTGTGGGATCCAAGGCTCACACTGGTCAAGCATTGGCACAGGCTGATGGTGAAGTGGTAGAGTCCTCATCCCTGGCAGAATTTGAGAAACTTGTACATAGCACCAAAAGAACATGGCTTAGTGATGGGATGTGGTAGGTCAGATTGATGGTTAGATTTAATACTTTTCCACTCAAGTGTCTGTATGAATCTATGACTCCTCAGCTATCAGAAGCTTCATTTCAAATAGCTGGGGCTGCCCTGAGCCTCTACGTAAGATATTTTCCTGCCCTTCCTAAACTGTCTTGTTGTTGAAGGGTAAAATATCTTATTTTGAAATCCTATGTCATGGAAATGTTCTGTTCTAGGTTATCATGCTGTGTTTTCAAGCAGTGAAGCCTACAAAGCAGTTTTTGGTCATGGTTGTTGTCAGAACCTCCTAATGCACTTATCAGACCTACTTTCCAATCCTTCTTAGGTTGGTTTGCTCCATCAACATTTCTTCTGAATCTTTCCAATTCTACCCCTCAAGAAATCTTCACCAGCATTAAGGCCTCCTCAGATGTTCACCATAGCCTCTCCAGTCAGTTTTGTTACTGCCTGTATACAGCTTGTATATGAGATATATGAATATACTTGTCTTTGTTTTATTTCCTGGACGACATTCCAAGTCACTGATGCTCAGGCTGTTTTATGTACAATTAGTCACCTGCTATTCTTCACACAGTCCTTGTCCTCTCGTCTCACAATGGAAAAGATCTGTGCTGGATTGGCCTTTACCCCCTAAAAATGCTTCTTCCACCCCATTCCATTTCCCAAAGTTTTTTACAACTCTTTCCAAATACTCAGGATGGAGAGGATGAATTTTTATGGGCTGCTGGCGAACTGCCTCTGAGATTTTCAGTTTCTGTCATTGAGACAGATCAAGTTACTGCTGTTGTGAATGACCATGATAACATTTACATGACTTCCTTTACCTTTGGCATCTTCTCCCTCTCCACCCAACCAGTTTAGCTCATCTATCTGCTCTTCTGGACCACTTTTTCTTTTACAGTCCAGTACACAGTAGGGCTTCAGGTTGGCTACCGTGTAACTGCTACACGTAACCTTAGATAAATGGCATTAATAATGAGGTGTGTTAAAGGTGCAGATGTTCTACTTTCTGGAAATATTTAAGTTAAGTCTTAGGTCAGTGTTTATGTATGTCACAGGGAGCCAGATTTCCAGGAATTGGCTGACAGTTATTTTTTAGAGTGCAATTTGAAGGAATGCTTTTTGTCATTTCTATAAATACTAAAAAGTTTATACAGTTGAGATTAACACTCCACTATTCAATGGTTCAGTTTCAGATTTAAAGCAGACTTTACCACACAGAGTTTATGGCTTAAATAATTGTTATTAAGGAGTGATGCAAAGAAATAGAGAAGCAAAATTACTTACATAAACTGAAGTGAAGGTGAAGCCAGTGAAACTGGCTTTGCTGACTTCCAGACTAGTGCTTTATACTATAGTTTCTTATGGTAATTTAATTAAACCAACATCGGTTTAATATCTTCTTGTTTACCTGATAAGCTTGAGGAAATGGATTATGAACGGTATACAGTAAAACACTGATCCACTGCCCAGTTTTTTAGAGGTTTCATGAAGCTTTGCCTTTCATTTTTAAGTACAACATATTTTCAGAAGTAATATTTCAGCTCCAGCTTTTCTGTGTGCTGTTGCCCTTTGCCGTATACAGTTACCTCTTATTTTTAGTGACTTCATACGTTGCTGCAGCAACTGAACAACTGTTGTTTTAATAGCAGCCAGAAATCCTTAGTCAAACTACCCACATTCTTAGTTCCCTTCATCATGGTTAACATTTTCATTGCCAGCTCCTTGATATGTACCTGGAATGTCAGCAGTTTTAGCACTTATTTCAGAGCAAATTCTTTGGCACTCACCATGTTAATGAGATATGATGTTTGCTCTTGGGAACACTCTCTAGAAATGTTGAATTGATTTCATTGCTACTAAATGTGGACAAAGACAAGTTGCTTGTATTTTCATTTTCACTAGTAAAGGTTGTTCTAAGGTTGAATGTAACAAAATAACTGCAAGTGTTTATCTGAACCTGTTTAAGGAAGCAAGTAACCTGTAAATAATGTTAGGCGGTTCTAATCTGGCGTTTCTTCTGAACCACGGTAAATGCACGGTTGCAGAGAAAATCTTACAGGTGATCTTTGCTGACATAGCATTGTCCCATTGAATGTAGAGGCAGTCAGAAACCCAAAGAAGCATGCAATGTTCAAACTGGTTAGTCATCATCTACAGGTGATATTTAAAATGTCTGCATTGTTCTTTTTGCTGGAAAGGCATAGCAAATGCGTTTATCCCACAGCCGCCAATTGCTGTCAGCTCCCTGCTAGGCAGTCAGAAGCCTTGGCTATCACAGTCCTGCAGCCTCCCCCCTTGACAACTTTGATGTTGCAGCTGCTGTTATCAGTGCAAAACATCCGGCATTTCCAAAACTGGAAATGATGAAACAGTTATCTCACCAGTGGGAGTGAACATAAAAACACCAAAGTACTGTACTGATTATAGCATTCAGTTGCATATGTAAAGAACCTGCTGTAGAATTTCTAGGCTGATAAACCCAAATGCTGCAGTTTAGCATTTTTTTGGTGCATAGCATAGATTGTGACCCAGATACAATGGAGAAGATGCAAACTACTTTTTTTTTTTCTTTTTTTCCCTCTTCTTGCTTTTTTTTTTTTTTTTTTTTTTTTTTAAGAACTGCTGGATACACTTCATGTCAGACAGTACAAGCATAGGAGTAGCAGAAGAGAAGAAAGCAAACAAGTATTTCAAGAGAATTTATTAGAAATTTTGGGATCCAATCTTACTGAATGACCGTATCTAAAAATGCTAGGACTGAGTAAGATGTCACTCCACTATCTAGTTTTTGTACTCTGTAAATAGAAGAAGCCAACAATTTTTTTTTTTTTTTTTAGAGAGCAATTTGGTTCTTTTTTCCCCTGAGGGGGTAGGAGTCTGCTATTTGCCTGTATCAATTTCTTTATGTAGAGCAGTTAATGCTGAAAATATTTTGCCCCTCAGCTTTGCTAGTATCTGTAGGAAATGTACCTCTGGAGTATTTTCCACAACCAGAAAAAAATAAAGTAGGCCATCAAGTTATTTAGGAACTGAACAAACCTGTGGCTCTGTCTGGTTGTTCTTGAGAGGGGTCCATGCTCAGGCATGCCATATAGGGAGCAAAATTTGGCATAAAGGTAGGATAGCAAGTGTTCTCAAGCAATCAGCTGGGTGTGATGTCTCCAAGAACAGTTAATGTGTGCCACCAGCACAAAAGTTTCTATCACAAAGATTTTTCCTACTCCTTTGGTGTGTAATATGTTGTATTGATTTCAGATAGAGTAAGAACTAAGAATCATTATTTCCAGCACTAGCCACTCTTTGACAGTAGAAGTAATATTTTCACCTGAAAAGGATAGAAATTACATTCTATAGAAATTAGAATAACTGTTACCTTGTCTGTAATACTGCAACACTTCTAGTACTACGTAACCAAGCTGGTTATTTGCTTGCCAGTATTATTTCATTTTCGCCAGTTCTTTATAAAATGTATTTGCGTGTTTCTCTGAAAAAACTTTACTGAATATCTGCTAAGTTTTGCTTAGCTCATTTTTTCCTAGTTCCATTGTAAGACTATTGTCCTGGGAAAACATGCTAGTTTGTACGAGTACATAATGCAAATCCGTGTATCTTTTCCATGTCAGGGAGCAATATATTGACAGGTTTGGAAGTTACAATCTCTATGCTATAACCTACTGCAAGATCGTTGTATTATCCTAAAGAAGTGAACTCTCTGAACTCAGAGTAAGCCAAGGATTTCTAATGGTAAAATTATGAGGTGAGAATCACATTCAGGATCAGACCCAATTGCAGGATAATTTTTTACAATTCTAAGACTTACATATTTAAAATATTATGATTATTTTTCCCAGTATCCTGATGGAATGCTTTTTTATGTGTTTTGCAGGGCTTTGTTGGAAGGGGAAAGCAACCAGTGGATTATTACATGGAGAGATCAGCTTATAGGGAAATTGCCTCAAGGTAAAAAATGAACATTAAAAAATGAAAATTGAATTGAATTAAATATAATTGGAAAATAGTGTGTTACAGTGTTTCTGTTTTATCAGTGTACTATGAAATTGGTTTTGAGTTTTAATATTTTAAATCAGCATAGTGCTCTGTGTATAAGAAAATTGTAAAATTGTGACTCAGGTGGAGGAGTTAAGCAGGGAGTGATGTTTCATAGCTCAACAGTGCAAAAACTTTCGGATGCCCATAGTTGTTCAGAGAGTTTTGAAGTAATGAAGCAAGAAGTATTTAACAAAACATTGTTAAAACCACGGCACTGTGAGTTGAAACCATGAGACATTGTGAGTGTTAATAAATGTACGTGGGTTTAAAGAGAAATTTAAGCAGAGTAAGAAAAGACAAATCAAAGACATACTAAACATAAAGATACCATTTCTATCTTAGGAGCTGCAAATCTCTGGAGGCTGTGAGAGTATAACAGGGAAGTATCACTATTTACTTGCCCTGTTCTTATACTCTTCCTTATTCTACTGTTGGTTGCTGTAAACAGGATACTAGATGAGATGAATTTACGAGCTGACTGCTAGGGCAACTCTCATTAATATTGGAATTAGTCTTGATAACGCTCCTGAGTTTTGTCTTAAGTGTTAAACTCACCAGACCATCACAGACATTAGCCTCAGAAGAGGTTGGAAGTCTGTATGTGTAGTAGTAAATTAAATAGACTACAGCATAGCTGAAGCACTTGCATACACTTGCCTATAATGTTAATTTGTTATCAGTGCCTCTGGCAGTTTTGATTTGGATTACTCAGTCCTTTCGCAGACAATGCTCCGGTGTGGTCAGTGGTTACTGCAGACCAGGAAGCACTGCCAAAAGTCAGAGTAGATGTAGCTAGCTTTTTAGGAATAGGAGATTTGAATTAGTCTTAGAGCTGGACAATTATTGCTGGTCCTTTTTATTAACATGTACAGATATAAGCTAAGAGATTCTTAATTACTCTCCTTTATTGTGCCTTGTTGTATCTTGTGGCTATAAATGATAGTATTCAGCATGCAGTAGCAGGTATGCCATTATCTATCTGTAGAAACAGAAACTTCAGAGCACTTGGACTGAAGAAGCAAAAAACCAAGCCTAGGATATTAGCATCCGCTTTTTAATAAGAACTTGTAAATGTGAGTGGGCATCAATGTAAATATGAAAGGAGTAATTCTTAAGTAAATGCCGTAATATCCAATGGCTCATAAAATGTTAAGTTAGCAAGAACTTGCAACTCAGTAAAAAGCTTTGCTTTCAGCCTTAATGTAATATGCAAAGAGTTAATTATCATGCCAAGCCTATGGAAATTCATTTCCAAAGCTTTACTGAAAATGAAGATTCACTGTTTCCTTTCAAATTTTAGTGTTACGTTTCTTAGTTCATGACCTCTTTATTCTGTACTCTTTTTAGATATTTTTTATTTTTAAGCCATTATGTTAATATTTGATTGCCTACACTCTCTTTGCAGATATTATAAACTCTTCATATAAGTACACTGATACGTACTCTACTTATCAAGAAAGAAGTCAAAATAAAACTTCACCAGCTATCAGGATCACTGATACAAGGCACAGAATACCTGCGGCAAACATAGGCGGTTCTGCACGCTATTCAGCTCAATCAACACAGATTGGATCACAGAGAGCAGTGAGTGGGGAAGACTTTGGAAAAGATTTACTAGGTTCAATATATCGCCCTTCATCAACCATTAGAAAGGATGAAAGGATTGTGACAGACCACAAAGAATTAAGAACATATACTCCAGGCTACAGTAGCTGGAAAAACACTGAAACGCAGCAAAAGACAATCCCAGAAAGAAAGAAAACAGAAGTTACATCGTCATCTACAGTATCTTTTTCAAAACAGTCAACACATGCTGAAAGATCAGACAAGGACATCAAAGCTGACACAAAACCTAGGATTTCTGAAAATCTAAGAACAAAACCAAACTTCTCTAAATTTCCAACTTATGAGCTAAACACCAATTCAAAACCATCTGTATATGAAGAAACCGTAACTGAAACCCAGACCACAGTAAAAGAAAAAAGAGGAGGCAGCAAACCAGCTGAAGAAAGCATATCACTGACTAAAGAAAAAGATAAGCTAGAGAGACAAACAAAGGAGGAGAAAAGAAAGATAGATGAGAAGACTGTTGTAGATGAAAGAAGTGTTAATTTTGGAAGGCAGAGTGATGCAAAAATGGGAATAGAGCAGAAAAAATATGTTCGGGAGGAAGTCATTAACCAGAAAGTAGCAGGGAGTGAAATTTCAAGAACTTTGAAGAATGAATCAAGCAAAAAAGATACAGATGTATCCTTCAAATCCAAAAGCAGCGAAGTCATTGAGATACCCATCAGTCTTGAAAGACCTGCTCCTGATGAAGTATCTCAGAAGAATAACACAGATATAAGTTCCCAAGATTTTAAAACTTCCATCGGAAGAGAGACAGGAGACAGAGAAACTAAGCCTGCTGAAATTCACAAAGTCAGTGTTTCAGAATCTAACCTGAGAGATGAAGAGAGAACTAGTGACAGAAGTCATAAAATGGAGACTCTGTCAACTGAAAATATAGCAGAGAACATTGTTGCTGACATTCTTAAAAGTTTTACACAGTCTTCTAGTTCAGAAGTATCAACAGACACAAAAGTAACCTCTTTCAGTAAGCAAAAGCAAGGTGATGATGGGAAAATAAAGACAGAGATGACAGTGCAGTCTCGAGTACAAGAAAACATAGATGTTTCTGCTGAAGCTGGCCGAGGAAGTCTTTCAAATCAGGATGTTAGAAAAGTGTTAGAGAGTGCTGAGGGAACTCCTTCCAAACAGGAGATAGAAGATATAGTACATCATGGCCTGAAAGGAAGTGGGGATGCAAAGAATATGTCCGTTAATGTTGAGATTGTGGAGGAAACAGTGGATTATGCCACTGATGAAAGGACTGATTTTTCAACACCTTTTGAAGTGGAGGAAGTGGAAGACACATTCCCTGAAAAAGAGAAGCGTTATGGTGATGAGGAGCAAGACATAACACTTACATATGAAGATCTTAAAAAGAGGAAACAACGCCATGAAAGCTTCACTCACGTGGAGGAAGTGACTGAGGAAGATGACTCACCTATCGAACAAAAATACTTTGTGTCTGTTCCTGATGATCATCCTATTATTAATGAAAAAGATGATGACTCAGTGTATGGGCAAATTCACATAGAAGAAGAATCAACTATTAAGTATTCTTGGCAGGATGAATTTTTGCAAGGAACACAAAGTAAGAGAGATGAAGGTGTAAGCTCTCCAGAGGAAACGTACAGAGTGGTAGGGGAGGAAGCAACTGCCCACATATTAAAAGAAGAGCATCCCAAAGCTGGAACATCCCATGTTGAATCTGTTGTCATTGAAAAAGAAATTAAGATACCCCAAGAATTTCAGGCTTCAATAAAGGGGCTTTTATCAAAGGAAACCAAGGACCCCAAGCAACAACTGAAGGAAGCTTTAGAACAGTTGGAAGGCAGTCTCCCAGAAAGTGTAAAAGAGGAACTGTCTGCGTTAACAAAAGAAAGTCAGGCTGACTCCAGTAACTTGGAATTTGATATCAAAAAAGTTCATCAAACAGAGGAGGGAGGCTTGCTGACAATTGTTGCTGAAGTCAATCTATCTCAGACCCTTAATGCTGATGAGTTCAACGTAGCTGAGCTCAGTGAAGTAATTGCAGGTGAGAAGAAGACATCATCACACTCCTTGAAGAGAGATAAGTTGGAGAGAGTTGATGGTAAAATCAGTACAGAAACAGATGTTTCTGCACACAGTGATATATACACTCCTGTGGCTAATCAAGAAGTCTACAGGTCATCCACAGTCAGGAAGAGTGGTAGCACAGGATATCATACCACTGAAAAAGTCATTTATGATGGTTCAGTTTTGGAAACTGCACATTTTGGAGAGGACTCTCACTCACCTGAATCAACTGATGAGAGTAAATCTGTAAGACATATTCGGGTTGGTCCAACAGAAGTCCAGAGGTTTGAGCAGATTGTATATGAAGGGCCTGGCTCTGAAATGCTCAGTGCCACAGAAGATGTTGTTCAGACAGAGGGCTCGTCACAGATGAGCCATTCTGTGAAGCATTTTAAACTGGGTCCTAAAGAAATCCAAACAACAGAAGAAGTAATTTATAGAGGCCCCGTTACGACAACTGTAGAAGAGATGGATTCTGGAAATCTTTCCCAGCAGACCTTTTCATCAGATATCAGCAGGTCCACGAGGCATGTTACAGTAGGATCAAGGCAAGTAATTGAAGAAGTGTCTTTTGAAGGGCCAGGCTCAGATTCTCTGGAGCTCAGCAGCTCAGGGAATCTCTCTCAGACAGACGGGTCTGTGGATGTCAGCAGATCAGTAAGGCAGTTTAGATTACACCCAAAAGAGATTCACTCTGAGCAAGTTATCTTTGAAGGACCCATCTCTGGTAAAGTAGAGATCAGCGATTCTAGAGACTTTTCACAGACGGAAAGTTCAGTAAGACACATTCAGTTAGGTCCTAAGGAGTTTATGACAGCTGAAAAAGTCATCTACCAGGGCCCCATCACTGAGCATATTGAAATCAGCGAAGTGGGAGACCAGACCCATTCAGAAAGCTCAGTAAGGCATTTTAGGCTAGGCCAAACAGGAGTTAAAACAACTGAGAGAATCATATATCAAGGCTCCCTTTCTGAAACTCCAGAGCTCATGAACAAGGGACATCTTTTAGAGAATGAAGGAAGCTCAGATATCAGTACATCTTTCAGGCATGTTAGAATAACTCCTGTAGAAACTCAAAGTGAACAAATCATCTTTACAAGACCCATTTCTGAAACACTAGAAGATCATTCACAAACACGAGAGTCGTCTGAGAGCAGCAGCTCCATGAAGCATGTTAAAGTAGGATCCAGTGAGAAGTCTTTCACTTTCCAAATGGATGTTTCCAATGCAGGTGGAGTATCCATGGCAGAAAGTGAAGAACAAGCAACAATGCTCATACCGAATAAACAAGACCCTTCTGTTAATCAGTCACAGTTTAGAGTTGAAAGTGACCACAGTGGGGACAGTGAAAATAAAGGAAGTTATATTCACTCCAGTTTTTCCCAAGATCATGTTGAAAACATAGCGGAGAAGTCAGGTTTTGATAAAACTGTTCAATTGCAAAGGATGGTAGACCAAAGGTCAGTTATTTCTGATGAAAAGAAAGTTGCACTTCTCTACCTGGACCATGAGGAGGAAGATGATGAAGAGAATGATGGACAGTGGTTCTAAAAGGACACCTTAATGAAGTCTACTTGGTAATTTGTTTATGCAGGTTCTTGATTATCCTGTATTGGTTTTTTTTTGTTTAGTTTTTTTTTGTTTGTTTTTTTTGAGAGAGAGAAACTGAGAAGAATTGAAACCTTCTACCTATTCAGTACACTTTTTACTTGATTTGAAATCGTATTTCTGGGAGAAATCATGCTATTAATATGTTTTTTTCCTCAGAGACCTGTTTCCAGTAACTTCAGATTCTTCCGCCTATAGAGACAGAAATTTGCTACTGGCTAATTCAGAGGATTGTAGGTTTTTTCGTCTGTTTCATAGCATCTTATTAACAAGTGTGTATTTGAATAGGATTTTTCCATTTTTAAAAAATACTGTATTGTACTTGGTTACTAAAATATTCATCAATTCTCTTCAAAGCTACTAACCAGAAATGTTAGCGGTCATAAGACTAATGAGAGTGGTAGGTAGCTGATTTTCTGTTCCATTTCTGTGTATTTATATGCAATACCTAATGAAAATATTTTAAGGAATGATACAGTTATTACAGCTATAAAAACTGCAATACAATTCCTTAGGATTTAAAAACGCACGGCAACAGTAGAGAAAAATACTATTATCTGTATAGTTAGAATGCAGTGCAAAGATTAAAAAAAAAAAAAAAAGAGGTACCACTGAAGCAGAATTTTCTTGCAGTATTCATAGTGAGAAATTGCAGAGTAGTACATTTAAAAAAGAATAAAATTAAAAAGTAGATGGTACTTCCACCAGAGTAAGGAGGAGAACTCTACAGCTTCAGTGTGTATGCACAGTAACAGCAGCAAGTTATTTTGCAGTATATTGCTTACCTGGACACTAGGTGTTGCTAACGGTAAGTGTGAAGTGTTGGACATCACATAATAGCTTCTTTGCACAGTGGAATTAGCTAATACTAGCTATGATCTGAAGAAAATACGTAAAAATGATATAGATTATGTCTGTGATCATTTTGTGTCAGATAATTTCCAGCGAATTCTTGCCTTGTTTACAAATGAGAAGATGCTCTTTCTGATCACTAGAACTGCAAACCCAACCAGAGATTTTAATTTTCCCTTGTATTTCTTTTCTCTGGTTATAAAACTTCTCTGGCCAAAGTTGGTTTCTGCCTAAACCCATTTTGAACCATTTTCACTTGACTGCACTTTGAAGGACGTAAATCAGCTTTACAATAAAAATTCAGTCACTTCAAAGTCCAGGTCAGAAATCAGAACCAGTTACTGTACTACACTGTGCAGTACTGGTAGAAACAAAAATAGCAGCTGAAAGGTTTTTTTCACTGGGATAAGAAGATATGAAACTGAACACATACAAGAATAAAAAAAACAGACGAGAAGCTGCTATATTCACACGCACGCACACACATGCATATCACTCACTCACTCACTCACTCTCCTGTACTTTCTCTGCAGAGTAGAAACACACCTGTGTCTGGATGGCTATCATGTGCCAGGCTGGTAGTCTGTGACACAGAATTATTTTCCTGTGGTTCTTTGTGCACAGTTCTGTGTGTGCTAACTCAGAATAGAATCCAGTTTAACTGTTTTAGTCTGGCATGGATATTCAATTTTCAGACTCTTCTAATATTAACAGAAGCTAGATTTTTCAAAACTGACTGCTACTTTATAATATGAATGTAAATGCAAAGCTAAAGAGCAATAACCTGCTGACTGACGTATCATTCTGTTTCAGATATGGAACAGATTAATCGTTGTGTGCCTTAGTAACTAAGTTGGAAACTGTACAAAGTATACTAAAACTATTATCAGTGTTCCAAAGATTAACAAAGGAGGTTTGTCTGCATTGCGAATCTTTCTATAGATTCTGATTTTTTCTGATTTTATATAAGTACAGCAGTGTCAGGAAAGAAGTGGGCACTTTTCTAAATGTGTAAACCACTGGTCTATATATCAAATATGATATAGAATATAAGTATCAGCGTTGATCAGGATTGAATTTTTTTTTAATTATGCACCAGGAAATCATTTATTGAAATTGGAAGTGTAATCAACAGCTGGAAGATGAAGGAAACTGAGGTTTGTGGAAGCACCAAAGGCGTGTATGCTGCTGTTCACCATGAAACATAACAGCATTTCTCAAAGTTATTCGTATGCGCTTATAAAAGACCTTGTGCTTCCATTTATAAGTAGGGTGTTATTAGTCATCATACTTCAAATATATCCTGTTTTTGTTTCCTTAGCTGACCATCTTAGCTGACATTGTAATGTCTTTGTTTGTTTTAATAATTATGTCTGAGGCAGAATTTTCCAGCTAGATACTTAACTGCAAGCAATCAAATTCTGCACTTCAACTATTATATAACTGAATAAAGAAAGGAGTCAGATCTGTAAAAAGCAGCAGTATTTAAAAAGAAGTAATCAGTGTTAATCTTCTCGAGGTTTGATTATAACCGGAAACAAACATTTTCTTTAAATTAGATCTAAGAACATCTGCAGAGAATGTGTTTTGTTATGAAAAGCTACTCCCAAAATTAAACCTTCTTTATTGATAACCTGTGTAATCTTAAACAGACGTTGTCCTTAGGATCAACTATTCTAGCACTGTTATAGTTATCTTCACCTGCTCAGAGGTGAAGAAACTGAAGGATAAAAACCAGTAGGGATTCACATAAATGAATCACATAACACCAGTGTTCTTAGTAATGCAGGAGAGAAGAAAACATTATTTCCACTGAGGCAACAGCACCTCTGCAAAAATTCCTGTAGGCATCACAATCAGATCTAGTAGGCTACATCAAGGTACAGCGCTACTCTGAAAGGAAACATTTCTTTGGAGTACTTTCAATAGTTCTGTTAAAGAGCAGGATGTTACTCAGCTGTAGGAAAGTTAGTTTATTTTAGGGAACTGGCAATGTGCATTAGCGTAACGCTTAAAGATATGCACAGTTCCTTTGCAAGAATACTTTGAGGCTGTGAAAACAAATATTTTGTATGGATGGCATAAGTTTTAGAAATGTTTATGTAAGCACCGATTTTCCACTTAGCTCTCATTAACCCGAGGCATTTTGCATAATGACAGCTTTTGGATAATACTACCTCCAAGCAACAAAATGTAGTTAGGTGGACAGTCACATGCTGCAGGCCTTACAGTTGCATTTGCAGAATCAGGGCCATAGGTACATGCATTATTAGTAAGAACAAATGTTGTCTAATGTACTAACCCTATGTAATCACCTTCTGCATGAGCATTATATTATAATGTGGCTGAAAGGATTGGTGATATAACCTTGGACAGCATGCACTTCTGAAGCATACTCATGTAAGTTGTGCTTTTCATTTAAAAACAAACCAAAATACATTTAATGGTGACTTTAGATTAAAAAAAAAAAAAGCTTTAAAATATAACTACTAATCTTGGGGGGTAAAAACTATTTATATACTGAGATAGATAAGAAGTGGGCACTTTTCTAAATGTGTAAACCACTGGTCTATATATCAAATATGATATAGAATATAAGGAAAGTTGTGTGAGAGACTTGGAACTCTGTATTGACTGATGTTTGTGAATAGCAGGTGTTTAAAAAGACGGTAAGAATGTTGAAACTGGGTTTGTTGATGTCAGCTGTATGAGACTGCAGGCAGCTTGTATTTTGGTTATTTGAAATGAAACTGCATTTTGGTGGTGGTATAAGCTTTGTGATTTTACACTTTTTCACTCTTGAGTATTAAACAATCAAAATCAATGCAAATGTTTCTCTTTCTTCCTGTCTGATACTTTAAAGGCTGCGTTGCCAAAGGGAAAGAAATTTGCATTTATAAATGTCCCGTTCTAAGATCTCTCAGACTGATGAGCTTCAGTCCAAAGAAGGAACATAATTTTTCATTCCAGGAAAGGCATTCCTCTTTCACATTCCTGATGGAAATGATGGCAAATCAGAATATTCTTTATTGCAACTACATTCAACACGCACGGATAAGCAGTGCCTCAAGTTCAACAGCTGGTAACATCAGAGGCAGAGAATAGAACAACACAGAAGGTGTAACTCCTGGAGATGCCAGAATTATCAGTTGACCAATGCAAGTCTTATCTTTCACTGTTTTTTAGCAAAGAAAATCTTTTTATGTGTGCTTAGGCTTTGCGGTAAAAAAGAATTCCTTTTCCATTAACCCCTCTATATGCTTTAAAGCTCATTTTTCTCTTTAACCACATATTTTATTTGTAATGAAGTAAATTATCAGGCCTTTAGCACATTTTCATGTTGGTATTATGTTTTTTTTTGTGTGTGTGTGTGTGTGACCAATAAGATTTTTCTAAAGATATCAGTCAGTTTTAACTTATCAAGAAAAAAACAGGTGGTTCTCAATTTCTTCCAAAACATGCAGAAAGGTATTTGAAGCTACTGACAAAACACAGCATATTCTGAAGCTGCTTAAATGATTAGCAGAATAATCTACTGAAATTGGCTTCTGTCAGAAATACACTTTCAGCATTCATCCACTAAGTTAAGAATTATTGCTGCTTAAACTGTCAGTTTTGAAGATCTCATTTCCCTGAAACCTGAAGCGTGTCTCTGAATAGTAAGGAATGGTCTCACAGTGGGCTGGTGGTTATATACCATTTAATATTACCTTTCAGTTTCCTGTTTTTGACACGCTTGTGAGTTCACTGCAAAGATGGGGACTCTGTTAAAATCTAGAAAAAGTACTTGATTTTAAATGGAAAAAAAACATCAGTTATTTATAGTTTTCTGTTATATCCCTGCAATGAAATGTAAACATAGTAGACAGTGACATCCCCGACAAAGAAGTTATCCTAGCTGGAAAAAAAACTTTCTTGAATGTTGCTATCCTCAGAATCAATATTATCTTGGTTTATCACAAACCATGGCATTGTTTTTATTTTTTATTTCCAAACTGTGATGTAAATTTGTTATAGTAAGAATCTAAGGCTGGAAGTGAGTCTACAAACCCTTTTTCAAGTGAGAACATTATGAGATCTTGACCCCTAATATAAGGCAAAATTTGTTACAGGTTTTGGAGCTCTGATAGGAAAAGGAGTGTGCTTCAACCAAATGCCTCTCACAGGTTACAATTTAATTTTGTAATTCATTCTACAGTTAAAAAAGACTAGAAAACTAAATAAATCAGTTGCTAAGCTGATTTGAAATCCAGAGGCAGCCGTGAGATTTTACATCTTCTGTACCGAATTTCCGTGTATTTTCCTCTTTTTACAAAAGGAGATAAGAAGACAGTGGCTAATACTCTGAAGACAATCAGTGCAAAACATGCATTTATCTCCATAAAGTTTTTCTGGTGCTTATCTATCTAAGCAACCTCTCCTCCTAGAAATTTATTTTTATTCACTATTTCATGCAAAGAAGGGACACTGGTTCTTCAGGATGGCTAAGAGAAATGGAACAAATGCAGTCATATGTGTTGAGAATAAAAGCCCTGCTTTATGTTGGCCTGGATTCCTGATATTAATGTTATGCCTTAGGACAATAGTCGGAAGGAGACTCATAGTGGGTTGGAGTTTTCAGTGTGTTGGTCTTTCTGAGCTGAACTCTGTTTTGTTAAAGTTTTTGTGGCCCTGAAAAACAGGAGGAGATATAAATTGTAGTTTATTACCTATCTCACACCATTTGCCATTTAATTTTGTAACGTTTACAGATGCTGCAGAGAAGGTATACCTGTAAGAAATTTAATGGCACTGCATCATCTCATCAAAACAATTAGGTGATGTGTGACCAGCTCTGTAACTTTTTGCTGTTATTACTTAAGCTCAGGATTTGATCAAGAGAATTACCGATTTTCTTTGTGTGAATTAGGAACAAAACCAAAGATGAGGGATATTCTGTTCTGATTTTCTCTTGCTGCTTTGATGAATCATGGAGGCGGTGCCGCTGGCACAAAATCAAATCTCAGGCAGCGGCTGTTAGACCAGTGACACATCTGACATTTAGCGGAGGAAAAAGTCTGAAGAGTTAGCTATCTGAACTGCTGCCCTGGGAGCTTTCCAACAGTTTGACTCATCTGTCTTTTTCACCAGGCATTTGTGTGACTCTTGTTCTTACATTCCTCAGAGAAGTGCAAAGGAACATAGATTCCAACAAGATGCAAAAAGATGCTCAGCCAAGAAGAGATCTAATTAAAAACTCACTGTGAATATGTCAGCAGTTTCTTGAATTGGTCTCAATCTTTCTTGTTGTTGTGAATGCAAAATGAGATTTATAAATGAAGATAATGCAACATACTGTTCAACATTATATATTTCTTGGACCCTCATTGGTGTAAACATAAAAGTAAAACTCAAATGCACCTATTTTCCACCTGTATATGCAGATATGTTGAAAAATACTGTTACTGTGAGTAATACAGCTAGCCATGTGACAATCAGACTGAATAAGGATACAGCTAATTTCATTAAACCTCCCAATTTTCATAAAAGCATTGCCTCTGGACATGTGAATTGAGACACAAGTGTGCTTAAGGTAACTTTGTGTTTGCTACCTGGAAGTTGGGAATTGTATTTATTGTAGATGCCTTTGATTATACAGTGATGTACATCTGTACAAATACTGGCTGTTACTTAGCTGTCGTTGTTAATGCAGATCAGGTTCTGCTCAGCAGGGGTTTTTGATGAGCGCTTGGCAGAACTTTTATAAGGCGTTTTGTTCCAGGCAAATGGAATTGCAGAGCCTTAGAAATTTTCATTAGGCTTTTTAGAGTCACGAAATTACTCTAAAACCCTTAGACCACAAACCAGAGCCCTAAGAGAATACCTTGGAAATGAATAAATAAATTCCATATTACTTACTTTCATGTTTTTATCTTTGCTTTGAACCTATGACGTAATGTTATTCTTTTCCCTCATTCATCATAGTGATTTTACGCAAGCCAAGGAGTGCTTAGATTAACTGAATAATCTGGGATTGCAATATTAGAAAAAACTAAAGTAAAGCTTGCAAAAAGAAAACCAAACCTTTGCAGATCAACTGATGAAGTTAGAAAGCAAACAGAAATGTTTTCAAGTACGTGTTTGTTTTCTTTCCCTTTTCACAAATGGCCTGTTCTTGAAGATTATTTATTCACACCTAAGTGGTACTTTCCTGTTGCATGCAGCACGTGCTAGGTGCTGTACCTACAGATAACATGGAGCTATTTATCCAGTGCCTGCTTTGTCCACATTTTAATAAAATAGTACAAGATAGTGATTTTTAATAGCTAGATATATGGTTGGTTTTAAGTGCAGTACTACAAGGTACTGATCTTTAGTATCACTGTTATCAGTAAGATACTGACTTAGGAGTTTTCAGACATTTATCTTTCAAATACAAGTGATGGTTCATGCAAAGGTGGATCTTGTTCTTCCAGTGGAAGGAAATCTTAATGCCTTCAGTTCACTAGTTTTCAATGTCAGGATTTAATTTCAATACTCAGTATATTTAAAATTACTGACAAGTACCTCAACAAACTTCATGTGCCAATAACTAAGACATTAAAAACTGATGATTGCCACTACAGCTGAAAAACTTGTTTTTTCATCATCTGACTGCTCATGGCAATGTTTTGGAGAAAGAAAATGGATGAGAGAAGTAGCAGGAGGAAAAGGAGGTCCAGGAAGGTGGTACTATAAAAATATGCTAGAGAACATTGGAGAATACACATATTCCTCTCTCTGTGAATCTTCCTGTGACAAAATAGTCTGAATACTGGATGAGGTGAGCAAATTGAAAAGCTGTAACTTTTTCACTGAGTGCTGATCAAAGCTGCTTTCTGCTAAAGCATCACAGACTCAGCTTCCAGTTTCTTCTTTATACTGAAGAGCCAGCCCATCTGGCACGCTCAAAGCTACATCTGGAGAAACTTCTACTCAAAGAAATTCCATACAGCTATGCTAGAAACCACCCTGGCAGCTGCTGTTATAGTGCAGAATAAACAGTTAGAGTGGACTACCAAAAAAGCCCATGCTGAATGACTATTGGTTTCATTTTTTGAATTCTGAATCAGGGAACATTTGTGGCTAGCAATCAGCTCTAAAAGTTTTGTCTTACTGTTAGATGTTGGTACGAGAAGCATCAGATCAGTTACGTCAAAGGAATAGTTTGAACAATCCTTGCAAAAAAAAAATTCTCTAAAAAATGCTCAAACTCAACAGATTTGTTCCAATTAGACCAATAGCAGCACACTACTATCTAGAATAGCAGAATTGTCCTGCAGAAAGAAAAGATCAGCTGCTGAGCAATGTGTGAAAATAAATTATGGTAATCTGTGTTCTATTTTTTTTTATTATTATATATTTTTACATGATATCTCTTAGGCTGCTACAGCCATTCTTGAAATGAAACCAATAACTGCACTTTTGTAAAATGAAGAAAGCTACTTTCATTTTTTTTATCAAAATGTTTGTAACAAGTGATTGTTACTTCAGATGCTGAATTTGCCAAGGTATGTGTGGTGGGGTGAGTAGCAAGCTAATTTCTTGATTTCCTTTAAAGAAAAAAAAAATTAAAAGTAAATAAAATACAAATTATTACAGTAATTCCTCAAAGGGATATTTGACAGTCTGATTCTACTTTTACTTTGATAACCAACTCTACATCTTACCTTGCACCATGGTTCAGTTAAGAGTGAACAGCATAAAAATGGGTTGAACTGCTGTTTCCAAGTCTTATTTGGAGCAGTGCTGTTTGTTTTATGTGACACCAAATACAGTCTTGCTGACTTTGAGTTGAAAATAGAT